CTGCCCTCACCCACAGCTCGTGGGCTTCAGTCCAAGCGTGTCCCAGAGGCCCAGCTGTCCTGCAGACAAGCTTCGGCAAGCAACAGAGCAGAGGGATATCAGGGAACGAGGGCAGCAGCTGGGGAGGTGAGGATGAGGGTGAGGACTGGCACAGCGGAGGAAGGGCCCTTCTGTGCACAGCCTCAAAGCTCCTGCACCTCTGACCAGGAGCAAAGCAGGACGGGCCAGGAGAGCAGAGGGTGCAGGAACCTTTTTCTCCCCCACTCCTCAAAAGGAACGGATGCCTGGATGGGCTCCCCCTGTATTTTCTGCGCACGCCGTAAGGGGACACATCTATGGACAACCAGTGCCACGCAGAGAGAGGCCGGGAACGCTCAGCTGCGGCAGAAGGACACGCAAACAGAACCGGAACTGCTGCAGGACAAGGTGAAGTCAACACGAGGCCGTTGGAAGCACAGGAAGCCTCACCTGAAGCTCTCGGCAGGTCGCGACGGCGTGAAGGTGTTTCCCTGCGTGAAGAGGGGCTGGCTGGCGGGCACCGTGCTGGCAGGAATGGCTTTGCTCTGGTCTGCAGAGAGAGGGTGGTTCACGTTAGGGCTGAGAGGCTCAGCTGCAGGAACAGGGACAGAGAACCAGTTGCATGAGACGTGTCCGTGTGAAGGAAGGCTGCTTTGAGCCAAAGCATCGCACAGGACCGTCCCTGATCCAGACACAGGCTCCAGCTGGTTTTGTAGGAGTCCGTTTAATCTGATTTCCTCTCCATTTTCCAATAAACTGGGCATTAAGGTCCTCTCGGCTTAGAGCAGCCACTACATTCCGTGCCCAGTCTGGGAACAGAACTGCTCTCTGGGGACGAGCAGGGAGGGTCAGACTAAGGCAGGCAGTAACACACCGAGCAAGAGACCGTCCCCACACCTCTCCAGCAAAACGCGGGCTGCAGGAATCAGCAGAGACAGGAATCGTCCACCCAGCATCGAAATCACAGAATCACAGAATGGTTAGAGTCGGAAGGGACCTCAAAGATCAAGACATGGGCCGCCACGACGGCCACGCTGAGCCTCCGCACCCACAACTGCTCCGAGCGACGCAGGAAAGGGCGGCCAGCGCTCGGATCGGCGCTGCCGTCGGATGAAGACGCGCTGTGCCCCCGGGGAACGTCTCACAGCCCGGCCCTCCTCACCTGTACTGATGCTGCTGAAGATCTCGCTGAACCTCGGGTCCCGCTCCTGATTGAAAAGGCTCTCCGCCTTCTCCAAGGGCTTGCTGTGCTCCGGGCCGGCCGCGCTCACAGGCTGCACGGGAACCTGGGAGCAGGCAGAAACACGAGCTGCTGGCACCTCCAGCACAGAAGCGAGGGGTCTCGCTGCCAGCACGGAGAACAGCTGAGGGCAAAGACCTGGCACGCAGGAGCCCGGCTGCTCTCCGGACTCCTGCGTATTTCAACCAGGACAGCGCGGCCGTTCAGGGCGCAGCGGGGAGGATGCCACAGGGGCAGAGCAGAACCAAGCCAGCAGATCCAGCAAACCCCAAGCCAGAAACACCTTCCTCTCCAAACTCTCGGCAGCCTCGAGCCCCAGCAAAAGGCGAGTTAAATACCGCAGGACGACAAACGCCAGGAGTAACCGAAACCTTGTCCATTTACCTGCGAGTGGTCGTAACCGGACAGGCTCTCTCTTCCTGGGACCACTTCCAGCTCTGTCTGCTGCGGCGGCTGCTGCTGCCTAAAATAAAAAGGGTCTGTAACAGGAGAACACCGGCTGCTAAAAGGGATTGCCAAGGGAACAGATACTCTGTGGTTACACCAGGGATTCAATAGCCCAGAGGAGTTCACTGCTGCGGAGAGGAAGGTCTGGGAAGGAAGGCTATCCGAGAGGAGGGCAGAACCAGCGAGAGGCACGGTAAAGGGAGCTGAGCACCTCCTGACCTTGTGGGCAGCTGTGCCGTGCCCATCTCCAGGGGAAGGCTGGCACTCTGGCCCAGCTGGGGCCTCTGCATTGAGTCTGACAGGGCAGGCCGAGACTCCTGGCTCGAGTTCCTTTAAAGCAAAAAAAAAAAAAAGAAAAAGAAAAAGAAAAAAAAAAAGAAAAAATATTTTAAAAATACCAAGCGGAAGCAAACAGCTGGGTACTGCGTGTAGGAGGGTGTGCCTGGCAAGGCTGGAAGCTTTGCTTTTGCAAAAGCTGTTCGAGTGAAGGGTCCTTTCACTCG